TGCATCTTTTGCTTCGTTAGACGGCGGTTGCATCAAGAAAACAGAGACTCACATCGGTGTGCACCATGCCTGGGCGCAAAGCTACAGAGGTGATGGTAGGCTCTTCCTCGGCAAGAGTTCTTGAAAGGAAATCGACGTTGGGGCAGTACTAGTCCGAACGATCTGCGCTTACCGACAAAGCGAGTTCATCGCGGCTTTCGACGCGTTATACGGACCCCATCCCGCGGTGCCCTTTACCGCGGCCCCAGAGCTGACGAAAACGACACGTCCTGGAGAGTATGAGACATCGCGAACGCGTCGAAATGGACAATTCCCGTACCGCCCAACTTACTCTCGCGCAGTGCCGGCAAGGCTGCCTGAAGCGCATCGACGAGAGAAAAGAAGTTGGCGTCAAAGTGAGTTCTCCACCTGTCCAGGCCGATGCTCCTATCCCCAATGCGACATAACGGTTCGAGCGTAGCAGCGTTCAGAATCAGCGCGTCGATGGTGGAGAATTTCTTGAGGGTTTGATGTATCGCGTCGGCAATGGCCGTTGGGTTAGTGCTGGCAAACGATTCAGAATCCAACGTCTGAACAAGTTGACTGACATATCGCCGTCGACAAGCAGCAACTTATCGGAAGCGAGAGCGACGAGCTCCGGTGTGCGCGAGCGTTGGAATGCGACTACATTGGCGCCTTTGCGGAGGAGGATGGCAGTTACAGCCAGGCCAATTCCCTAGCCTCTTCTGAGGGAGATTCGAGATAGCTGTAGGAATCACCTTGGAGGCGCCAGTTATCAAAACTGTGGGGGCACTGGCAGACATCGAAAGTGTCAGTCACGGTGTCACGCAGCGTCCTCTTTCCAAAATTATTGTATGGCTTTGCCCTTCGCCCGCCTAGTACGCTCCCGTCCACTGGCCGTCTCGAGGGCTTTCGCTGCTCGTCGCTATGCCTCGTCAGAGCAAACGGTACGAGCAAAAAAAAACTTGGGACGTGTCAGCGATGAACTGCAGCCCAGATGACTGTCCGAGATGCCCTCAACGTCGCCATGGAGGAGGAGATGCTGCGGGACGAAAAAGTATTCATTCTTGGTGAGGAGGTTGCCCGCTACAACGGCGCATACAAGGTCTGTGCACGCGTCGAACCATTCTCCTTCGTTTGCTCACATTCTCGCAGGTGACAAAGGGCCTGCTCGACAAATTCGGCGAAAAGCGCGTGGTTGACACCCCAATTACGGAGATGGGCTTTGCGGGTCTGGCAGTCGGTGCTGCACTCTCAGGTCTCCGCCCAATGTTCGTCACTTTGTTCCCCCCCGCGGCGTCAAACCACTCAAACTCCGTGCTTAGATGCGAGTTCATGACGTTCAATTTCGCCATGCAAGCCATCGACCAAATTGTCAACTCTGCGGGCAAGACATACTACATGTCTGGCGGAAATGTACCGTGTCCTGTCGTTTTCCGTGGTCCAAACGGTGCTGCCGCTGGTGTAGCGGCACAACACTCTCAAGACTATGCTGCGTGGTACGGCTCGATCCCTGGGTTGAAGGTGGTCAGCCCGTGGAGTGCTGAGGATTGCAAGGGTCTGCTCAAGGTTGGTCTGCAGACCCATTTATGTCTATCTGCTTATCAGCGTCACAGTCTGCTATTCGGGACCCGAATCCTGTTGTCTTCCTTGAAAACGAGATGATGTACGGTGTCTCCTTCCCCATGTCCAACGAGGCCATGTCGGATGACTTCCTACTTCCCATCGGAAAGGCAAAGGTCGAGCGTGAAGGCAGCGACGTCACCATTGTTGCGCACAGCAAAATGGTTACGCACAGTCTGGAGGCAGCCGACGCGCTGGCGAAGGAGGGTATCAAAGCAGAGGTCATCAACTTGAGGAGCATCCGACCGCTCGATATCGACACTATCATCAAGTCGGTCAAGAAAACCAACCGGTCAGTTCCATTGCCCAAGTCGACACACACTCACGCTCGTAGGCTTGTCATCGTCGAGGGTGGCTTCCCCGCATTTGGTGTCGGCAGCGAGATCTGCGCTCAGATTGTGGAGAGCGAGGCCTTTGACTACTTGGATGCTCCGGTTGAGCGAGTCACTGGCGCCGACGTTCCTACACCAGTACGCGCACTCCAACTGGTTGAAACTTTTCTTACAGCCACCGCAGTATGCAACCAACCTCGAAGTCCTTTCGTTCCCAGACACTCCGCTGATCACCAAGGTTGCGAAGCGGGCACTCTATCGCACCAACTAGGCTTTCATTATTTGCTTTCCTTTTACACACCAATAGACTGCTTTCCACGTTCGTTTCAGTTCCGTAATCGAATCCGTACTGCGTTTGCATGTGCTTCTAATCCTTCACAGTCTGCGAGTGTCACAACGACGGGACCCAGTTTCTGCAGACCCTCCTGCGTAATCTCTTGCGATGTAATGTGTTTTTGGAAGGACTGTGTGTTGACACCGCTGAACTGTCGCGCGTACCCATTCGTCGGCAAGGTGTGGTTCGTGCCCGACGCGTAATCTCCACAGCTGAAGCAAGAGTTGGTAAAACGAGGGAAGAAGTGTTTGTGGCGTACCTTTCCGGCGAGAATGATCCTACAAACACGCTCCCTGCGTTTTCAACCAATGGTATGGTCTCGCTGGCATTTTCGAGGTGAAGAATCAAGTGCTCCGGAGCGTAGTCGTTCGAAAATGCAAATGCTTCAGCGACGGATGGGACTTTGACGATCACGCTCTTGCCAATGGACACGCGTACGATATCGACGCGCGACAGGGCGTGAGCTTGAACATCTACCTCTTTCTCGATCGCCGCCAACTTGTCCGCATCGAGATCCACGGCTACCAGTACAACCTGCGAATCCACACCGTGTTCTGCCTGCGACAACAAGTCCGCGGCAACGAATGCAGGGTTCGCTGTGTAGTCCGCGATGACCTGAAGAGACTGTGGTTAGAGTAGAATCCCAATTGGCGACATGAGATAACGCACGAGAACCTCGGATGGTCCTGCAGGCATATCAATAGAAACGAGGGCGTCTGTGTCGTTTTGCACGAGCATCTTGGCTGCAGTAACCCATTGGTTACCCGGACCGAATATTTTGTCGACTTTGGGAACGGTTTCAGTTCCGTAGGCTAGCGCGGCCACGGCTTGTGCTCCACCAGCCTTCAAAATCGCCGAAGCACCGACAAGGTTCGCCACGTACATGACCTCTGGGGATATACTACCGTCTGGACGTGGCGGAGTCGCGATCACGATGTTCTTGCACCCTGCAACTTGGGCTGGAATGCCAAGCATCAAGGCGGTCGATGGGAGGATAGCCGTGCCTCCCGGTACATAAAGACCGACGCGAAGTATGGGTCGCGCAAAACGCGAGCAAACGACACCCGGCATCGTTTCTACCTTGAGAGTTGTTCCATCGGCCTGCGCCTCGTGAAACTTTTTAATGTTGGCATATGCCGTTTTTATCGCGTCTCCGACGGCAGGAGAAACACACATTGTTTCAGGAGAAAAAGGTGGGAAGACCACCGTGGATTCGAGTTTTACTTTGTCGAATTTGGCGGTGAGTTCGAGGAGTGCAGCGTCGCCCCCGGACCGCACTTGATCTACGATGGGCCGTACTCGATCAATCATTTCGTCCGACTTGAGCACGGGGCGGCGGAGAAGGTTTGCACGCTCCTCCGTGGAAATACCAACAACATCGAAGGTGCGCATGCGAATCGGTGCATCATCGACCCGTTGCGTTTGCGGGGCTGGTTGTGGCTGCGCAACCGGTTTCGTCTGGGACCATTGCGGTTTTGCGTTTCCAGCCCTCCGTGTTACGCGACGTGCTTTCTTGTCTAGGGAAGCTTCGATGTCCGCAATTCCAACACCCATCGCAATACACTTGGTCAATGCGAAATACAACAGATCGGCAGCTTCAAAGGCAACATGCTCCCTGTCTTCAGCCCGACATAGTTCGTCCGCTTCTTCCATTATTTTTGAACGGAGCAGATCAGGGTCGCTGAAGAGCCGATTGGTATATGAGCCTTCTGGTGCGGCCTCGAAGCGCGAACGGAGAGTGTTTTCCAACGCAGGAAGTCCACCTGCGACTCCGAAGCAGGACTGGCGATTGAGATGGCAAAAGCCCGCGCCGTGTTGACGAACACAAAATTCCAGGCTATCTGAATCGCAGTCAAGTCGAATGGCGATGACGTCCTGGGTGGCCCCAGAAGTCTCGCCCTTTCGCCAGAGTCCATGCTTTCGCGATTGGTAGACGCCCTTCCCAGTCAAAATACTTTCTTTGATAGACTCGCGTGAGGAATAGACGAGTCCGAGGGAATGTCCAGTTTCTGAACAGACGACAGTGGGAAATAGACCGTCAGGTCGATCGGAGACAATGGGTGCAATGAACGCGTCGGCAATGTTTAACTGCGAGGCAGATGTGGGACCAGTAGTGAGTTGGGAAGAAGAGAGGACGGCGATGGCCCCGATCCCAAGCAATCCACGAATTAGCGAGGTTGTAGGGGCAGTCGAGGGCGTGGAGAGGACATAGATGGACGATCCAGAGAAGAATTGCGAGATGGAGGCTATCAAGTCCAAGTCGATGGACGGGGCTTTGAGCAGCACGCCAGAAACCCCGTTTCGCACTTTGTCCGAGACGGCGCTAATGTTGGCAACATCGAGTAAAAGCAGCAATCTTTCTGAAGAGATGACCTCGATGAGCTGTTTGGCCCAAGCTAGAGGCGCAATGAGCTTGGTTGCTCCATTATCTAGCCATGATACGGCCTCGTCGAGCACGAAGGGGCGAGGGGTGTCGATAAGAATGTATGCGTCTGCCGGAAGGGGATCTGGGAGTGGGCTTGACAAGGGAAGGACAATAGGTCCAATGCGGGCCAGAGAGACGAGCAATTGGGTGTCGTCGGCCTCGATGAGCGGTAGGAACACGGTCATTCTTTTTGAAGCTTAACCCAATCGAGTCACTGAGTCACGGTCACTAGGCTGCTTCCAGGCTCGTATGTTCATCAATTCGCGCTCAATTCGCGCTCGCACGCGGCTCTGTGGGGTAGTTGGTTATCCCTGTGGATTCTGACCAGCTGAACTTCCACCGACCCCGGTTCGAGTCCGGGCAGAGCCTAGTGCAAAGTTTTGGCTGCGTACATGTTTTATTTTGCGAATCTGCTCAATCCCGCTTCTCCTTCCCTGTCAACCAGAAGATCCCGCCATTGAGATACGTGGCAAACGCGAGCCAGGCACAGTACGGCAGCAGAAGGTACGTGGCCGCCGGGGAGATCGGCACGAGTGCTTTCTAGCAATGCGAGTTAGGACGACGGAAAACCTTGCGACGTTAACCCACGGTCATGTAGAACGTCGTGGCAGTCATCGCAGTAATATCGATGAGCGCTAGACCAGGCTGAAGTGAAAGGAGCCCTTTAGAGAGGTGTATCGTTGAAACATAAGCGTACGCGTTTCAAGCCGAAGAACAACGGCGTCCAAAGGAGGTTGAGGGCTAGCTGCGTGTAATACAAGGACAGCACCAGGGCAGCTCTGCTGCGATTTAGCTGAGGGAACGAAGGAGGTAAGCAAGCGAACCTCGGGTCGCCGCGGTCGAAAGCTTTGACGGTTAAATGGGACGCATAGCCCATTGCTGGACACGCGTTTGAAGGACAAATCGGAGCAACAGTGGACCCACAAATGTACAAAAGGGGCCAGACAATAGGGAAAACCTGGCGTGGAGGGCGGCCAGGTGGAGCACGCAGGTTCTAGCGAGCACTCGAGTTGAGGTTGAAGGATTTTAAAACGGCAGCCAGGCTACCTTGTACCAGTCGCCTCGGACGACTTTGGCTGTAGGAAAACCACTGAGGAGACCGAGACCTAGAGGGAGGCCCACGGCAACGAGTGGAACGCGAGCTGCAACGAGCAAAAGGTTTGGCAGAGAGATGGTCATAGTTCAAGTTAGAGCGAAGCAAGTACATTCGATTGAGATAATCAGATATAAAAAAGATACAGTAGATTAACTAAAATACATGAGCGTCGACTGCGCCTGGTGCAAGGGCTTAAAGTTTCGCTTGAACGCCTCGAGCGAGCTAGCGACCTGCTGGTCGTCGACCTGTGTCAACGAGTCGGAAAAGTCCACAGTGCCCTGCGGGTCGTAGTGGTTCTTTGCGCGCGAGCAGACGATGTCGGCGTCTGGAAAGACTGTTAGGAAGACACAACGAGAAGGAAGATAAAGGAAACACACAGTAGACAGGCGCCGGGATCGAGACCGAGCGCGTCGAGCGGGCGTAGACGTGACAGAGCGCAAACGCAAGGGACTGCAGGGCGTCGGCGCTGAAGTTGTTCTCCTACAGACAGCTTGAGTGGACAGAGAGAAGTGAGTGAAGAGAGACGCACGTCGTAGAGAACAGAATAGTGAGCGGGACGACTGGTGCCGAGCAGACCACCGTGCGATTGGAGATAAAAGTCGAACTCGGTCGGGTGCGATATTTCACGGTCAACGACGGTGCCGGCGCGGCAGTTTCCACTGCGGTCTGCATCGCGCTCGCTCTGCGGGAAGAACCGAACATGATGGCGCTTGCCAACGACGAGAATGGTGATCTTGGGATCGACGTTCAAGGACGCGCAGGCCTCTGGGTAGGGGAGGGTTGAGTCTACAAGCAGCGGACTAGGGAATGCGACAAACTCTTGAGGAGAGGCAGCTCTGCACAAAACGAGTCAGACAAAGAGACAACAACAAACGCGGTTGGAAGACGAACCCTGCTCCAAGACCTGCTTGAACTGGCCCTCGGAAACACCATCTAGCGCGATAAAGTCAGTGGCCAAACTCAGGAAATACAGTCAGCCCACCGCGGAAGAAGATGATGCGCTTCGGCGCCAACGACCCAGCGGGCTTCTTCTCCACCATCTCGCGGTACCTCATGTTCATGGACACAATATGGCGACACATGGGCTCCAGCTCCTCGATCATCTCTTGACGCGATGTCTGGACACGCGACGCTATACATGGGTGAGCAAAACGAAAATGGTGTCGAGAAAAACGCACCAGAAACATATTTGGCAGTGTCAGAATCGACGTTGCCGACGAGGGCAGTGAAAGAAGGTCGTCCGTCAGAGCCAGGAGCAGGGTGAATAACATCGGCTGTCGTCCAATGAGATACTGCAAGGAAAGATGGAAACAAATATACCGCCTGAAAATGATTAGACACAAATCAAAGCTGTAGAGCAGCGCACGAACCCATGACAATCGTAGGGTTGTGTGGGTCCGTCAATACCGAGACAGATGAAGGGTCTGGGACTGTGTTGATACCGCCAAGCTTGACGTTGATCCTGAACCAATGTGAAGACAAGACTGGAAAGGAAAGAGCCACGCACTTCAAGCAGACGTTGGCGTAGTACTGCGGCTTCGCACGGAAGCACTTGCTCGACTTGAGGCACTGCGTCGCGACACCCATCTACAGGCTACGTTGAGCGTCGATGAGAGACTCGAAATAAAGTTCAAACCGTGATGTCTCCGAAGCTACAAGCGCGTTAGAACAAACGTAATCGTCAAAGGAAAAGAGCGCGACGTACTGCTTGACGGCGGTATAAATGTCGTTCCCGCCCTCGGGCAAGACGACGACCACGAGGTTTGGGCCTGCCTTCTCCTTCTTTACTACGGCGAGACCAGCGGCTTTGAGCTGGTCAGCAATACGTCCCTGGCCGTTCTCCCAGAAAATCAATGGTGATGGCGCGAGCTTGATGCCAACGTCGCGGCAGCTCTTTATGAGACCTTCAATCATGTCGCCTGCCGCGCCCTCGTTGAAACGACGCTATACCACCACAGTCAGCAAAAGTCCAGAGAATTAGCAGAGAAAGCACCTGTTGCTCATAAACGACAACAACCCAGCGATCGATGGACACTGGTTTGAAGAAGCGCTTGTCGACCATGTTCCAGGCACCGTCCCGCGGAGTCTGCAGATCCAGAAAGCTCGCAGTCGCAACGAGAGCTCAATGAAGACACGTACGATGGTCGGTTGACGCGAGCCATTGCCATAGCGGAGCGTCGGAGGCTTCAGTACGCGCGCTTGGACAGAGAGCGGTCCTGCAGCAGAGTTGACGTTCATGCCGAACTGGCGAACATACTCCGATTGCCCGTAGGCGAGCAACTAGGACCAAACGTTGGAATCCAAATCGAAACATGTAGCTGGCTGATACCTCGAGGCCATTCTTGATGCTCCGAAGACGATCGGCCGGGCGCTTGGTCGCAAAGTCGAGACTGCCGAGGGTGAGATCGGGCCGAAATCCGACGAGGGCACATACACGTCTTTGGTCTTTTCCGGCGGCTGGAGAGGCGTTGAACGCAAGTAATAATTGAACAAGTAAAAACACGCACGACTTGCTTACGCATGAGTTGGCCGGGAGTGACGTGGCAAAGCTCTGGACGCCATTCAGTCGATGCGAAAAGAAAGTGAACCGTCTCGACACGAACCTAACGGAATGAGAGCACCAGACCCAACCTCAGCGCAGATCACGTCCGGGTACTGCAGCGGCTTGTTCTGCGTGCGCTGGAAGTACTGAGCAACGGACATCTGCTCGCCCTCGCGCACGGTAAACATGAGATCGTTGGCGCCCGCCTGCAAAGAGGTCAACTCAAGTCGGTTCTCAATCAAAAGAGTGAGCTCACGGTGGAAAGCTTCTTGACGACACGCGGCGCTGCCTGAACCTCGCCGTTGGGGCCGTTGTGGGTCGTAAGAATGCGGATTCCGGAAATGAAGCGCTGGAGGCGGAGACGTTCGCGATCGGGGAAGCCACGTTTGGGAGCAAGCGCGTTGAACTGGCCGCTCTTGCCTACATACTCGCAGCAGAGTGCGAGAAGCGGTCCCGCCTTGTACATCGTACCGGTCGAGATGTCGACGTTGATGAGCATTTTACCAAGACCAGGGCGCACGGACTGGAAGTAACCACGCCCTGATGAATGTTAGCGATGGCATGAGCGCTCAGAACACCAACAACGTACACAGCTCGAGACCGGCCCCGATGTCCTTCGTTTCCTTGTTGGTGAAGAAGGAGCGAACGTTGAAGGGAAAGTCCATGGATGGCTGCATGCTGTTCAAGTTGTTCAACAGGAGCGGGAAGAGCGAGGACGGCTTCCACTGACCGAACGACGACGTTGAGGGCAGTAATTGCGGTGAGGACGGCGTTGTCGTGCGAGGCATCACCCTCGACGAAGCGCCGCAGAACCTCTGGGTTAATTTCCGCGACGTGGGTCACTGAAAGCGTCGTGAGGCTAGAAACACACGGAAAAGTCATACGCACACTTGATCTTGTAGACCTTGGGACCCTTGCCGCTGGCAGGGTTCGCCGCTGCGTCAGCCATGGTGACCTCAAACTCCTGCGAGCCGGTGTCGAAAGGCAACTTGCGGATGCTGAAAATGTTCTTGCGGCCATCGTAGACGACACGAGGAGTGAAGATTTGAGGCGCGACGTTGAACTGGAGGCGACGGATGAGGTCCATGGTCATACGAGCAGGCAGGGTCTTCTCCGAGGGCGAGATGACGACTTGAGAGAGAGCATCGCGGTCAGTGGACAAGCTGTTATGTTGGGCGCAACTTGCCATCGTAGTGGTGGATGGTAGTGTTTGGGATGGTTGTTTGGAAAGAGTTGACGAAGATCGGAGTGGGCTATTCAAGATGTGTGAGCGGACAAGTCGAAGAAAGGTCAGGAAACCGCGTACCTGTCCGCCAGTTCCAAAATCAGGGCGCTTGACGCCGACAGTGGTGATATGGTCGCCGACAGTGGGAAGACCGGCCTACAGGCAGCGAGTGAGAGACAACGAGATGGAGGAGGAGAGCAAGTCGTACACGAGCGTTGTCTACAAGCTTTAGCCATCACTGGATGTTATGTACAACGAACGACGTACTGGCTGGGCGGGGAGGCATCGCTGGAAAGGCTTCGCGAAATTTGCTGGGGGTTTTTTGGGAAAAAGCAGAGGCTGAAAAGGCGGTCTATGACCCACCTTTATACGCCCGTTTGACAGAAATATCGCTGCCATCGTTGAAAGCGAACCTGGCCTATACTTTGTTTTTTACGTCCCAAGCCGAGCTTGTCCATTTTGGGCCGAATTTCCGTGTCGCGGTCAGTTCTTGGCCAGAGGACGCG